AATCATTTCCCTATACATACTCAGCAGCGTTTCCTCAAAATATTTTCATCACAGTGCAAACCAGAGGCTCCTGCACTGCACTTAACATGCTGTTAGTGCCACCCTTCACTGTGCACCTACTATTGTTAGTCTTCCTACTCAGAAAGCTTCACTGGCTAATGCCATTTAAGTGAGGAGACAGAAGAGCCAGCAACCTCTCCAGCACTCGTTCACACAGGTCTGAAAGCCCTTCCTGTGTCTGGGGTCTGCCCGTGTCCCAGATCTGCAGGATGAGTCATTCCTCTCTCCAAAGGAAACAAAGCAAATTCTTCATCCTTTCTAATGCAGCACTCACCATATTCTCATCAAAATTAACCAATTGCATCATGCCTAAAAATATTGGGCATATCAAGTTTGTTGGGAATAAACAAATGGTAATTAGATCTAAAAAGGACTCACAAACTCAGCTTACTGTAGGAGTACAGACGTTCCTAAGTTATTGATGCTCTTCTATTGCATCAAAATAAGCTTTATGAACACGTGAAAACCCACAGAGCAGGCTGCAGTAGCACTAGATTAGGGAATAAATGCACTGCAGTTCAGGACTTGTACACTGTGGGCTACAAGAAAAGTTTTTGATAGGATTAAAAATAATAATTTAAAGAGGAAGTAGCAGTAGTGCAAGTGGTGCTGCTAACACATGGCTGTACCCATTCCAAGGCTGAGGCTCATTTAATAATCAACCATATGCTCAGACTGTTGGAGTGCCAAGAAAAAGCTTAAATAGAATGTCATCTTCTGGAATTTTGAAAAAAAACCCCTTGTAAAATAACTATAAATGTTAGCAATTGAGAGACCCTTAGCATTAAATAAATTCCAGGTGCACTGAGGAAAAGTGTCCCAAGGACAGATCAACTTGGGGATTATATCCCAACACGGAGTTCCACAGAGTGCCCATTTCCCACCAAATCAAGAAAGTCTGAAGGATTTGTCCTATAAAGTGATACGGTGTCCCTGCCCTCTCAGTACCAGTGTAAAGTCACAGCAGCCTTTGCCAGTTTCAAAGGAGATGGGACCAAGTTCGTGTATTTAGATTTTAAAAAATAACCCAACACCCATAGATACCAAGTTTCTAAATTCCTGACAAACATACTTTTTAAAAGATTATCATAACAAAGTGACAGCAGTGACAGAAAAGGTCACTACCACAAGAAAACAATCAGAAATGGTCTAAGAAAAATAATTAACAGCCACAGAATAATGTTCTCTCAGTTCTCTGGCTCTACTCCCTGTGCCCAAAGCCCAGCCCAGAAACTTTCTCCAGCACAAATTTTGTTGGAGAAATGTGGGTCTAATTAAGAAAAATCCATCTGCCAAATGCTTGATTTGTGGCTGATCCCAGAGAGGCCACTACAAAGACAAACATTCAATGCTCCATGATAAAAACTTTGTTAGTTGCTGTGATAAATCAGGATGCAGGAGACATTGTTAGCAAAAAGCCACTTTAAAGGAACCGTTTTTAGCTCTAACAAGCAATCTGACCAGCCAAGAAATTGAAAGGAGCACTCATTCCACAGTCCTCCTTTAAAGCTCACATTTCTATTAACTGATTGTACCAGATTAATGCATCTCTCATGTAGAATATTACTGATCATACTCAGTCTGATTCTGCTTCTCTTACTCACAATCAATACTGTTATTACTGTTACTGTAACTGGACTCGCAAAAAAAATCAGTAAGCAGAAGACCAGCAGCATTTGGTCAACTCCTCCAATGTGAATCCCACAGTAATTTACTGAAGTTGGTGCAAACCCTTATCCCAGCTTTTGTCAAACATAAGGTCTCTTCTCAGTTGATGTAAAATCCAATACTATGAGAAACAACCATGTTTTTTCTACAAACACAAGCTCTGCTTTACTATAATCAGCATGTTTTTCTAACATACCACTTTGAGCAGCTCCTCAGACGTTCTCTAGAGAGGAAAAAATGGTTGCCCAACATTTAACCACACCAGAATTCTCTGTGTTTTCACACACACACACGCCATGGCAGAACTCCAAGCAGCCCCTGGCAATGGATATGGGACCCAGGTAGATGGCATGTCAACTTGACAAAGAACAAGCCCCCCCATATGTCCAAGCTGCCAGCTCCTCCCCAGGACACAGCAACCAGCTCCCTAAGAGCAGCTCTGCAGGACTCCACTGTAAACCCGGCTGCTCCCTTTGTGCCACACAGGGTACGAAACCCAGACTCTGCTGGCACAGAATTAACGAGGTGATTCTGAACTGATGCCACTGAGACATTCTGTGACTTTTCCAGTGTTGGATGTTATTTCCTTGTTTTCCTTTGTTATAAAACTCACACTGTACAAATTTCCAGGAGGTAATAATTTTCCATTTGAAATGTACACGATTTAAATGTATGCACTAAGCAAATATAGAATAAAAAGCCTAGATATGTTTATGATCTCTGCTCTACATGCACATCACCAGCACCACAGCATCTGTACGTGTGTGTGCACATTTCATAGATTCATACTTATCTGCTGTACATAGCAGGACAAACAGAACATGCAAGAAAAGGAAACATGAAGAAACTAAGAGGTACAACACAGAACCAATTTAGATACATAAAAGCCGAGTAACAGAATCATTTATGATCTACTATAGCTCAATATTTCAACCTGGAGCGTCTCAACTGCATTTACTGCACTATTCATTTTTGCTATGACACCTCCTGCAAGAATTCCACAAAGCTGCAGAACAAGATGCTGTTATAGGGGCTATTTCCATGAGCAAAGGAGTGGCTCATGAACAGTCAGCTCGGATACAAGATGGAGTCAAGAATCAAATATGTAAAAGGCAAATATTCCAATACCAGATGCTGCTTTGAAACAGTTACTGGATTTCAAGACAGACACGGAAGCATAGCAGAAAATGCACAGGACTGATCTAAAAGACTGAAGCCCTTCATATCTCACAGCAGTCAGTGCATTGTGTGTTTTAGCAGATGTGGATGGGAATGTTCAGGAAGATAAAATTATCTTCAACACCAAAACCTCGATGCATGACTGAGAAGTCGAGCTGCTGCTTTTCTTTCACCTCTCTGAGAACAACAGTACCTAAGGCCAAGATCTCCTGCAGAACGATCCTTGCTTACATTACAGATCTGACACTGCTGTGAAAGCTCAGGGACTCACAGCTTGCCGTCAGAAAGTGCCGAGTGTCAGTTTCTGCCAGAGCAGGGCATGTCTGTGGATTGTAGATGAAATGCATTTATGAGTGATACCTGTCTGACAGAAGCCTTTCATTTTCAGTTTCTAAATACCCATGTAAGCAAATCCTTGGGTTTTATTCAAGGCTGCCAACTGCTACCTCTCACCCTTTAAGCTCTACACTGAAGATGCTCTACAGCCATTCACTGAATCTATAGAAAGTTCCTGCAAATCTGGCTCTGTCTGGGAGGACACAGCCCAGTAAGCTCCAGAGCTCTTGCGCTGGGAGGGCAGGGAGATCACAAAGCTTAATTTGGGAAAATAGCTGCAGGGCTAGTTGAAACAGTTAATTCCCACATCCTATACTGCCAGTTCACAGAAAGAAACAAAACTCCTCTAGGTAGAAAGAAAACCTTGCCTAATTTCCCTGTTCTTGGAGTGAAGCAGCAGCGCTGCGGGCAGCTTCCCGGCTGCACTCACTGCTCTTCCCTCTGGAACACAGTGCCCTGCTTCGAGCAGCTGTGAAAACTGCAGCACAGGAATCACATCAACTCTGTCTTCCCAGATAGTAACCCCTGAAATATTTCTCTGCACTGGCCAGCACAATCCTTTTACTTGCACAATCCAGCAGGAGAAAGCTCGAGAGGCTGTACTAGCTCAGGTAAGGAGAAATCCAGATTGGCAGTTGTCGTTTGTGGGCTGCAGAAATTCACAACCCCTCCAATGAACTAAAGCAAAGTAAAAGTTGTAATTGCTTTAAAAAGTGAAGCATTTACTCAATGGATTCTAAAGTACTGTCTTGATATTTTAAAATGCCCCTGCTACAAAATGATTACATCAGTGTATGCCCAATTTGGCTCGTTTTTGAGACAGAGACTTTTCTTGGTACTTTAATACTTTGCTGTCGTTCCCTGAAATAATTCACATAAGGTTGAAAATGTTCCTTTTGGAAGCAAACCAACAGTTTGCTTCTGGGGTTGGTAATGAAGTCTGTCTTACCTAACCATGACCTTGTGAATTTACACAGATTTACCTAGAATGTGAGCCTGTCTCATACACACACTGACATAAATCCACATGTACATAAATACATACACTACTAAAGAGCTACTATACTTTCTAACCAAGCTGAAGAATAAAACCAGGGTCTCATTTCCCCTGTATTTTGCTTGCAATTTGCTCTAATACTGGCCATCCCATGCCAAATGCTTCACCTGATCCATCTGCACACTGCCTGCAACACATCCGTCCTGGACTGAAAGATCCTGTTATGGCTCAGACAGAAAAGCAGCTTCGGCCACACGCCGAGAAGCCACCTTGTTATAATGACAGCAGTCACCAGCAGTGCTGGGGGGGGGGTGTGTGGAAGGGGGAGAGAGGTATCTGAGGAGATGATGGCTGTTCTTGTTCTGTGGTACTGTTGGTACAATGTGTAACCCAGTAATGTTGACTGTAGTCCAGTGTGTGAGCATCCCTCCCTTCCTCACCGCATCACCCAGCTCTGGCTGCTGCATCTATGTGCTATTTATATGCTGGTGCATCCAGTCAGGATTTATTGGGGAAAAGAAAGCAGAGCAGTCAGGCTTCCCTGTACATGATATTTAACCAAAAAAAGGGAGGGCTTGCACTGTTTACTCGCCAAGAAATTAAAATTACCCCTCTTGAAATTAAGCAAGTCTACTTCTGTCACATACATGGCGCTTGCTCTGCATGAAATAAGCAAGATATTAACAAAACCGGGAAAAATCAATATCCCCATTTTCTCTCACACACCCTCCTCCCCACCCTCCGAGAAACATCCCCTTACCTTTCATTGTCCACACTTCTGAAGCCAGGTAAAATGTGCCGGAAGCTGCTGTTCCTGTCGAGCTTCGGTTGGCTCTTTGTCCTTTTGATGGAGCCTTTAAGCCGACGGCTGAGGAACCCCTGTGGGGTGAGACAAGAATACTAAATTACAACAAAAAAGGGAGAAGGAGCGGGCGAGCCCTGAGCCTGCTGCCCGGCGCGGCCCGGAGCTGCTCCTCCCCAGCCGCCTTCATGTG